ATATATATATATATATATATATATATATATATATGCGTCCGTGTGCATATGTATACATGTATATGCGTGCTCACACATTTCAAATGTGAACGAAGCCCTCTTGAAAAATTCGATTTTGAAAATGCACGCAGTAAAAAAGCCTATGATTTTTGACCAGTCGTGCTAGGCCATTTAAGTGGAATCAACTCGCCTATTATGTCTCTACTTATGAACTCTCGTTAAAATTAGTCTTAATTTTCAGAATTCATAACCAATGAAACTACAATTTTGGGGCAGTAAAAGAGTAATCGAGATGAAATCATCCTTGAAAATTTCCATTCAGATTTATTTCTTGTGTCACGACTAATGTCCACGCTAAAACTAATTTTCGCTAGCCTATTTAATGATAACAGTACTTTACAGTTTAAAAATCCAATGAGTTCAGTAATTTTTGCAACCTCGTTAACAGCAAAATAACACTTTGCAACTTTGCTGTACTCTCTAGAAAAGAAGCTGTTCGCTGAACATGAAAAAATAGTAAATTTTTATAATTCTCGCAAAAATTAAAAAACAAATCAAAAAAATCGGATATGCTTTTTTACAAAAAACTTAAAATTACAACACATGGAGTTCAAAGGCATGCGCCCGGTTGTAGCATGGTACTTCAGCAACAAGCAGTATTTACTGCATATGGAGGTAGGAAGTTAAATTTTTTTAATGAAAAACGAAGCTTTCTCTGTCTGGAAACAAGAGAAGTTGCCAGTTGCATCTCAGATGAGAAGAAATGCGACGATGAAACATCTGATTAAAATAATCAACAAAGCAAGCGGACGAGTCCGTTAGCCACCCATAAGCATTCTTAAATCTTGACCAACATCATAAGCTAGTACTTGTGCTGTACCAGCGAGCGAACCACCAAATCCGCCGGGATAGTATCCACCACCCATACCTCCTCCACCATAAAATCCTCCATTTTGACTCACCGAATTAGCGTTTCCATTGAGTGACTGAAAAATCAAAGAAAGTTGCATCGAAAATTTTCGAATGATATTAAAAGTTTTGAAGATTCTATAATTATATAAACAACTTCTTTTGAAGTTCACAGCCCTTGATTAACAATAAAGACCAAATTTATTATTCTAAAATTTAATCAGTAAATATTTTCTTCCAGCTGACAAATAACACGAATGCCCGGACAATAAGTTTAGTACTCTATGTTAGTAATGTTACTGGAATGCTCTTTCAAGCCAAACACAACTATTCCAGGCCCCTTGAATCTGAAACTGCATACTCATCATCTGGTCGGTTCCCGCACGTTCACCTTTTTAGGGGTTACCAAGTGGTCGTTTTCCCTTCCCGCAAGTACCACACATCAATGCACTGTCTACTGGTTGTCGACACTTTAATATACTAATATAAAAGCATAATTCACTTCCCTGCTGAATCCGTTTTGATGTACCGCTGTAATCTGCTATACCATTCTAGTTCTTCATCTCATCCAGACTGTACATGAATAAAGTGCCTAATTGACAGCAAAATTCCTTCTAAGAGAATTACTCTTATAGTAAGTGGCAAATTATTAGAAACTGTTATCTTGGCTAATTACTAGATAAATTGGGTACTCTAAGTAACTAGTATTTACTAGATTTCAAATTAGCAATTTTTTTCAAATTTTGAATAAAATAAAAATTTGCCAGATTTTTCAACGTACATTAGCACCAGCAATATTATCGTCAAATGAGCCAATATTGAAGTTTATCGTTTCTTGAGCAGATACTTCATAAGTGAGAAGCAGCACCCTAAAAAAGTTCAGAAGATTAAGCTCTGTAATCAGTGTGTAGCAGCCGTTTTTTTTCGAAGTACCATTAAAATAAATACAGTATTTTTCTATTTCGGACAGGCTCTTTTGATGAAGAATAAGGAAAATATTGGGCTGAAGTGAAAAACGTCACTCCTAGCTGACTGATGTGTGTGCGTGTGTTCTATGTATCTTGGAAAACAAAGATCTCACAAATTAATTACGATGGTCGCACTTTCCACCAAAGAGCGTTGTTGATCCAAAAACATCGGATACGATAGTTTTTTGTGCTCTCAAAAGTTACCTGAAAATGAGAAATCAATGGAAACAATTTAAAAATTTAAATTACCGAGGTTATGTGCTTCAGTAAAGGCAAGTTAGCAAGCATCCAGGAGTTATCTTTCCTTTTTGTACCACGCACAAAATTTGAAATACAAATATACTTGTGCATTTACCGCACTGTCTATAAACAGCTTCATATATTTTACATACATTGCCAGCAGTTTACTCAGCAATTATTTGGCAATACATGTAAAATACGTTCTATGGACAATATACTGGTGAATTTCGGAAGAAACGCAGGAAAATGTATGTATGCAGCTGAAGTTATAAAAGAAATTAAAAGAGTCTTTTTTCTTAAAAAAGACTTTTACATTCTTTTGCAATAATTTAACTTGTTTCTAATTTTGCTGAATAAAAAACAACTCAAGCAAAACTGAAAAAAAGAGGAGCAGGGCGGGTGTCTTCCATGAAAAATGACTGCTTTTAAAAGAAGGAAAATTTTGTGTTAACAGTTATCACAGAATGCCAACCGAACGAACTTTTGCCGACCGTGCACCTGTGTACTTCTAAATTGCATCTATTCTGAATCTTTTTGTTCAGTGCTCCAGCGCGCTCGTCCCTTGTGTTTATTCGCAAGCAAATAATGTGCCAAAATTGCTTGAGCTATTGTTGAGAAATTACCTGAGGATTTCACGCTTCTAAGCCATCTTCGAAAGAGGGAGTCATCGACAGTCTTGTCAGCGAATCTTTCCATTATCGTCGCACAAGCAGTTTTCGAGTGCCTCCATTTAAATTGAGTGATCAACGATGTTGATTTTGACTTTTGACCTAAGTAACATCATTATATCCGTGCCATTACGTCCTCTTTCCTAAAAACAGTTGTCCTGGATACAAAAAATGGCTGCGAAATGGAATAGTACATAAAAAATAGAATACTTTTGCCAGAGGATACACCTTTTAGATTCATATTATTAGTGAAGTTTTAGAATTGAGACATCAAAAGTTCGAGGCCAAACTATTCAATAGAGAATGTCACATTTTTTGGCGGTGGTCCGCAATTTGCTACATTAAGATTAGTGTGTCAAGCTGCTGATACCTAAAACTGACAAAGAAGAAGCTACAGTACCCTTAGCCTATACAAGCTCAAGCTAAAAATTGTTTGAAATCCACCAATATAAAAAAATTTTTTTAATCAATTTTAAAAGCATTTCTATTATAACTTGAAATTTGATCCGAATTTGAGTCAAAAAGTGAGGTTTCGACCAATCGAACAAAATTTCTGGGTAAAATAAAGTCCAGGCATATGAATTTTTTCACCTTCTGACCTTTTATTCTTGATAGAATCGGCTATAATTCTTATTCTCATAGTCATCTTCGAATGAAAATCCGGCTCAAGCCTTCAGTATTTTTCAAATCAGTAGAAAACTTTCAGAAGTTTGAGTTTGTGCTGCACGACGCCTAAGCACTCTGTAGATTAGAAAACTAAAATAACGAATCTTTTTGCGTCGACAATGATCCATGAAACTGTAGAGAGGGGCGAAAAAGCCACGATGAACGAAAAAATCCATTAAAAAGAACATCGCGATGCTCAGAAAATTTTGTGAAAATAAAGAGCGATATCCCAGTATCAAATATTTTAGGATTACATATTTTGTCCAGAAGTTTATTGCATGGTTTGCCAATTTGGCAATTTTGACCAGTGCTGTATCATCTGATAGTCAGTCAGCTGGTAGTCCTGGGCACTCATTTTGTTCCTTTAAGCTCAACGATTTCTTCGGCATGAACATCTCGCAGGGGTTAGGTTATTTTTAGGTACTTTTGGTGTCTTTTAAGTGCTATCACCTTGTTTTAAACGTTATGACTGCTAGACCACGCTAACATATCTTATCAGCTAGAAGATTACTTCTAATATAATCAAATTTCGTGTTTGTCGTCAATATTAAACAACAAAAAAAGTCGTTTTCTGTTACCTAAACTGAAACAACTAACGTGAGAAAAGGAAATAGGTTTGAAAAACAAAATCCTGGTAGCAAAAACCTTCATGGACGCTGCTTTCACTATCCCCCAGCAAAAGTTGTGGCGAAAATCGTTGGTGTAGGATGAAAAACTAATTCGGTCGGCGAAATGCCAAATGCAGCTGCGTAGTTTAGATGGGTGGAAACTTCAAACATTTTTACCGGAAACGTTTGTGTGGCAAGAGTAGGTACTACGGCTCAAACTGGGCTTAAACCTATCAAAACTTAAATTTCTATCGACTTACCCTTCGCTTCAGTAATGAAATGAAGTACTGTTGGCGTACTTAGCGTGCTAGGGAATCAATGTGCCGCGAAGTCACTTCTTGAGTAACCTAAGAAAAGAGAAAGCCATCGACAAATTTGCCATCAATTTGCATTTGCTGGCGAAGTATCAATTAGTTCAAAGTGTCTGCGCCTTTCAGTAAAAGGCGGACAAGAAAAGAATTCTTACTTTAACTTGAAATTCGAAGAAGA